TTTTTACTGTAAATGATGGAGGTTCTGTCTGTAAATGATGAAGGTTTTTACTGTAAATGATGGAGGTTCTGTCTGTAAATGATGAAGGTTTTTACTGTAAATGATGGAGGTTCTGTCTGTAAATGATGAAGGTTTTACTGTAAATTATGGAGGTTCTGTCTGTAAATGATGAAGGTTTTACTGTAAATGATGGAGGTTCTGTCTGTAAATGATGAAGGTTTTACTGTAAATGATGGAGGTTCTGTCTGTAAATGATAAATGATGAAGGTTTTACTGTAAATGTAAATGGAGGTTCTGTCTGTAAATGATGAAGGTTTTTACTGTAAATGATGGAGGTTCTGTCTGTAAATGATGAAGGTTTTTACTGTAAATGATGGAGGTTCTGTCTGTAAATGATGAAGGTTTTTACTGTAAATGATGGAGGTTCTGTCTGTAAATGATGAAGGTTTTTACTGTAAATGATGGAGGTTCTGTCTGTAAATGATGAAGGTTTTTACTGTAAATGATGGAGGTTCTGTCTGTAAAAATGGATGAAGAGGTTTTACTGTAAATGATGGAGGTTCTGTCTGTAAATGATGAAGGTTTTACTGTAAATGATGGAGGTTCTGTCTGTAAATGATGAAGGTTTTACTGTAAATGATGTAAATGATGGAGGTTCTGTCTGTAAAATGATGAAGGTTTTACTGTAAAATGATGGAGGTTCTGTCTGTAAATGATGAAGGTTTTACTGTAAATGATGGAGGTTCTGTCTGTAAATGATGAAGGTTTTACTGTAAATGATGGAGGTTCTGTCTGTAAATGATGAAGGTTTTTTACTGTCTGTAAATGATGGAGGTTCTGTCTGTAAATGATGAAGGTTTTACTGTAAATGATGGAGGTTCTGTCTGTAAATGATGAAGGTTTTACTGTAAATGATGGAGGTTCTGTCTGTAAAATGATGTAAAAGGTTTTACTGTAAATGATGGAGGTTCTGTCTGTAAATGATGGAGGTTTTAAATGACTGTAAATGATGGAGGTCTGTCTGTCTGTAAATGATGAAGGTTTTACTGTAAATGATGGAGGTTCTGTCTGTAAATGATGAAGGTTTTTACTGTAAATGATGGAGGTTCTGTCTGTAAATGATGAAGGTTTTTACTGTAAATGATGGAGGTTCTGTCTGTAAATGATGAAGGTTTTTACTGTAAATGATGGAGGTTCTGTCTGTAAATGATGAAGGTTTTTATTGTAAATGATGAAGGTTTTTACTGTAAATGATGGAGGTTCTGTCTGTAAATGATGAAGGTTTTTACTGTAAATGATGGAGGTTCTGTCTGTAAATGATGAAGGTTTTTACTGTAAATGATGGAGGGTTCTTACTGTAAATGATGGAGGTTCTGTCTGTAAATGATGGAGGTTTAAATGATGTTGATGATGGTTTTACTGTAAATGATGGTCTGGATGGAGGTTCTGTCTGTAAATGATGAAGGTTTTACTGTAAATGATGGAGGTTCTGTCTGTAAATGATGAACGGTTTTAAGGTAAATAATGGAGGTTCTGTCTGTAAATGATGAAGGAGGTATAAATCCTGTCTGTCTGTGTAAATGATGAATACTGTAAATGATGGAGGTTCTGTCTGTAAATGATGAAGGTTTTACTGTTATGGAGTTCTGTCTGTAAATGATGAAGGTTTTACTGTAAATTATGGAGGTTCTGTCTCAAATCAGTCTATAAAATGATATCGGTCTGTCTGATATATGATCAAGGTTCTTTTTCTGAATGATTAAAGTAAAATCACTGATAAAGTTCTGTCTGTAAATGATCGCCTACAAATGTTCTCCCAGTAAATAAGCAAAAACGTGTCTATGAATGATCAAAATACTAACATCATCCCTGTGCGTGAGCTTCCTACCCACTCTGCCGAATTATCCAAGCAGTGACATGACAGACATGGTGTGAAAGTGTAAATCGGATTACTTAGTGTTTGGTTTCAAACTTTGCAACATTTACCAAAGTAAGTAATGTTTTCAATACTCTCGTTGTCAAGTTATTGTAGATATATGTTCAAATAAGCTTAACTAAGACTTCAAAGGATTAGAGCTTTGTCAGATATGACGTCAAGTCGGTAAGAAACATCTTCCTGGTCATAATGTATTAAACGCTTCACGCGTTAAAGTTTGAACATGTTTACACTTTTCGTTGAACGTGATGGCTAAAGTCATCTTGGAGACATTTGAGTGACTTTATGAGTATGTACATATCTTTGAGCTTACACGTTTTTTACAACGTTAACACTTCAGTTCAAGTTATTGTTCAAGATGTTGATGAAAAGTGAGTGGCAGAAAAAACCAAATCACATTAACATCGCGGACTTACTCAACGAAAAATGCTGTTAAGTTTTACACACAGTGACAGGGCGAACACGGTGAATATTAATCGCTAAGATGAAAGCATGGTTTTTTCCAGTTTCAGACTGATGTCTGCATTGTTTATCATAAGTAATTGTTGTTCCTTGTTTTTTCGTGGTATTCTAGTGTATGCTCTTCACAAAAATATACGGAACAAAATAATTTCTGATAAAGTTATCTCAGCTTATTGAGTAGGTGTACTGTCAATACCAAATGAATTATCTTTAATCAAATTGCTGTAAATGGAGACCAGTGAAGGTCCGGGTTAGGATTGATCTTCAGTAACCCATGCTTGTCGTAGAGGCGACTAACGGGATCGGGTGGTCAGGCTCGCTGACCTTGTTGACACATGTCAATGGTTCCCAATTGCGTAGATCGATGCTCATGCTGTTGATCACTGGATTGTCTGGTCCATACTGGATTATTTACAGACTGCCGCCATATAGTTGGAATATTGTTGAGTGCGGCGTAAAACTAAACTCACTCACTCACTGTAAATGGACACTTTGACGAGTTGGAGTAGGATGTGATCTGCACCCTTTGTTTCAAAATCTTGTTTAATTGGATTGCGACTCGGAAACCCGCTGGGTTTTTCAGGGGTATGAATATTTTTCAATGAATATTGAAGTGTCGTTTGAAAATGAAATTACCAACCTTCAAAGACTCAAAAGCATCGACACATAAAAAAATATGTTTGTCTCATTTTGTTAAGTCCTATGTATGAGCTCGCCCATACGACCTAAATTCGGTCACTAATTTAGTAGATGTGTAAACTTCACCTACTCGATGTGATCAATAAATTTATGGACTTTGAACTGACCATTGTATGGTACGAAGCGCGGGAATTGGTGTGCGTTGGTTCAATTTTAGATTCACAGGGTGTGGGTTCGAATCCCGGATGGAACTCAACCCAACAAAAGTACTAGAATCTTTACTTTACTAAGAAAGTGTAATCCCAAATGTCACATATGTTACAGATTCACAGTGATTATGATCTTTCATATCACAATAAACCAGCGTCACGTCAGACTTTGTAGTACTTTATATTTACTCCCTATCAAAAGTTTAGACTCGCTAGTGTAAATGTAGCCATTTACTTATGTCAACTGTTCTAAAATAAATTTTGCAAAACGTTCCCTATTGTTTAAAGGTACTGTTTACACATGAACTGATGTATTGTAAAACACGTTTGTAAGGTTGAAAAGATTATTGTCATGAGTTCAATAAATGATTAAACTCAAGACTTTACACCAAAACGTCGCTGTTCAGATCCACGATATTTGCACATGATTTACAGCAATTTGATGCATGATCCTCGTGCAATTCATCTGCATAAGGTTTGCAGTTGGTTCCCCCAAGTTAGTGGAGAAATTCATCTTCGATGTAACCATGCATATATACATAACATATAGTGAGTGCTGTAAGTGAGTCTAAACTTTTGAAGGGTAGTATATAATATATATAACTGAGTTATGTTCCAGGGGCGTTAGACTCATTTCAGGTATTCATCACTGATGAATTTTACGTATCACTGAAATTACTGAATGTTGACAGCGGCGACTCGCTCATTCACTTTCCTCGGACGTTCCTCTCACGTGATGTGCCGTGATACAACTGAAATATGGCGAAAGCAACGTTATACCCAACTTATTCATTTTAACTGAGGCTTTGCTACCACATATGCCGTGATATAATTGAAATATGTTGAAATATATATATCATTCACTTATTTATTCAAATGAGCATTGATCCCACTTTATATGCTGTGATGTAACTGAAATGTCGAAATCGACGTTATTCATTCGTTCGTTCAACTGAGGGTTTGCCCCTACTCGGCATGCCATGTTATAGCTGGAATATAGTGAAAGCAGCGTTTTATTATAAACCCATGTAGACTTAGGATAGTAGTACACGGGTGCAATACGGATGACGTGGTCAAATACCCTATTGCACCCCAGGTTCCGTACTGAACCCTACTTTCTACTTTCTCCAAAGCTCGGCACAGATCGATTTGAAAGTCAAATAGCTTGTTCGTTCCTTCATACAAGTCTGTATGTATTAAAATGTGAATGGATTTCATTAGAATGGTTTCATTGTTTTGCCTATGGTAGGTTGTGAAAGGGGGACTTGATTCATGACGTCATGCGGAGGAATGTATGATTTAGGTCGGTTGCGTGAGCCGCCCACGCGCGGAGTGATACCTAATGTCAAACTAACCTGAATACGGAAGTAACGAGAGGCGTGAAAATATGTATCGATACGCTATGATTTGTTTTATTGGGTAACAGACTAATGCAAGATAAGACGGTATATAATAAATATAGAACGTCATACTGGTGCATTTGGATGTTTTGTATTTAACTCGAAGATGTCATAGGGGCAGTTTTTCTGCTCTCATGACATCTTCTCGTTCAATGCTAAACATCCAAATGCACTAGTATGACGTTCTAGATATATACCCAATTCACTCACTCACTCACTCATTCAATTGGGGCATTCCTCCCACGTCATATAACTGAAATGTCGACTAAACAGCCAACTCACCCACTTACTCATTTATTCAACTAATGGCGGCGTTGCCGGTGTTGAATGTAACAACTGCTACTTCTTCTCCAGGTGACGGCATCATCGACTTCGTGCCTGAGTACGTGAAGAACGTCATCACGCCGGACTACTCCGAGGAGAACGCGAAAGAGTGGTTCAACCTGGACAACACAAACGGGGACGACTTCGTCACTCGTGATGAACTCATGACAATCGCCCGTCACATAGGCACCCCCGAGGAGCAGGCCGATGCCCAGGTGTCCGGGTACTACCTCAGCAACGACAAGAATGGAGACGACAAGCTAGACTGGGACGGTGAGAATCTGTCATTACTGTCATAAACACGTTGCAATTTTCTTCTGGAAACCCCCAGGTCCAGAAACTCTCCGCACTGTAATCAGATTACTGATTACAAGATACTGCATAATTATGGGATTTTTTTCTATTTTTGACGAGTTCCATGTCTAGATATACATATATAATATGATGGTCAGCTTTTATTGAGAAAATATCTTAAAACGTCAAGACTGACTGACTGACTGAGTATGGTTCTACGCCGCTTTTAGAAATATTCCAGCAATATCACACCAGAAATGGGTTTCACACATTGTACCAAATTTGAACCCGGGCCTTCGGCGTGACCAGCGAACGCTTTAACCACAAGACTACCCCATCGCCATTAAAACGTCAAGAACTATTTCTATTTGCGTAGTTATCCTTGCTTTATATAGGTTGTACGGCTCCGCGTTCTGTCACGGAAGCCCTTCGTAGACATGGTAGAGTGTAAGTCCTTTTTGTCATGATCCTCACAGTCGTTGTAGTATTGCTGCAATATAGATAAGCGGCGTAACTCACTCACTCACTCCTGTGTCAAACAACTCGTCAATAGTGTATTTCTAACGTTATGTTCTCTCTCCTTTTCAGAGTACAAGGTCATCTATGGGCAGTGATGACGTGAAGGAAGTGGCGTCACACAACATGTCCGTGTGGTGTTAGAACGCTACCTCGATATAGCCACGCCGTCAGTAGTGGTGCCGTGTCCTTGTCAACCGTTGTCATGGAAACCGTCTCCTGACTGTGGCCCTACCAGTACTGTACTAGATTCAACCGAAACAAGTTATAAGACAAAGCACATTCCAATGACAAATTATCTCCCTTAGGTCCTTGACATTATGTTATCTTCTACCTCTGATCGCAGTCCTCTGGTTGTGATGGTTGATTGATTTATTATTATTTTCATTATTATTATTATCATCATTATTATTATATACGTTATTTGTTTTATCTTAGTTGTTTTCAATGGCGTTTCTCCGGCCTGTTTCTTCATGAACACTTTACAACGCCTGTATTCTCTTTGTAAGCATTTGTTGTTTTGTCATATTTGATATGTGCACGCAAACTTCAAATAAAGCCGAAGACTTGATGGATTTTGTTTGTTTGTTTTTACGTCCCAGTCAGCAATATTCCAGCTATATGGCGGCCGGCCGTAAATAATCGAGTCTGGACCAGACAATCCAGTGATCAACAGCATGAGCATCGATCTGCGCAATTGGGAACCGATGACATTTGCCAACCAAGTCAGCAAGCCTGACAACCCGATCCCCTTAGTCGCCTCTTACGTGGGATTTGCTTGTGATCGGATTGGGAGGGTACGGCTGAAGGATTTTAGGGGTGGTCGGGAAAGAAGGGTACAAGAGTTATACTTCTCAGCATCCTGTAGTGATGATCATGACAGCGTTAGCACTCAAAACTTAATGTCTAGGCATGACTATTTTGGAATAAAAGAAAACCAAGCCAGAGCAACGGGACAATTAACAATCCAGGTGAGAAGTTTAGAACAAGTTTCGTTTAGAAGGGTGTCTCACACAGCAGGCAAACAATTGATTCCAGATTCATCAGAGTGCTTGTCACATCTCGAGTGAGTGAGTGAGTTTGGTTTTACGCCGCTTTGAGCAATATTCCAGCAATATCACGGCGGGGGACACCAGAAATGGGCTTCACACATTGTACCCATGTGGGGAATCGACTTGACAGCACCCCAACGGACATACAGAACCAAAGGCGACGGCAACTGTTACTTCCGCTGCATCAGTTACAGCCTGACAGGATCCGAAGACAGTCACAGCACTATCCGAGATCGAGTGGTTCAGCATATGAACAATGACATTAATGATGAACTAAAACATTTCCTGAACCAACATGTCAATGAGTACTTCACTAATTCGGGAATTTCCCGAGATGGTGTGGGCATCAGAAGTTATGTCAACAGCCAGTCTGTTAAAATGTGACATTTATATTTACAGTGCAGTTGGTCAGTCAATGCAATGGCTGAAGTACCCTGCCAGCTTCAGCTTGAAAACTCACACTGATTATGCTTTGTATCTGGAAAATGTATCGGACCATTTCAATGTTGCAACCAGTGTTTAATTGTGTGAGAAGTACAATAAAATTATAGCAGTATCCTTAATCACTTGTTTTCTGTAGGGGTATAATCTGGGCTAGGGGGTATACTATGGCCTAGTTCAGAATATACCCCGGGGTATAAACTAGGCCAGCCCAGATTATACCTGGGGTATAGTCTGGGCTAGCCCAGTTTAACCCCGGGTATAGTCTGGGACAGGGGTATACTCTGGCCTGTTACACCGGGTCTTCGGCGTAACGGCCGAACGCTTTAACCACTAGCCTATTCCACCGCCCCATCACATCCCGAGACTGAAAGCACTCACCTTTAGGGGCGGTTGGGAAGCCATGTGGTTAAAGCTTTCGCTCGTCACGTCGAAGGCCCGAGTTCGATTCCCCACACGGGTACAATGTGTGAAGCCCATTTCTGGTGTTCCCCGCCGTGATATTGCTGGAATATTGCTCAAAGCGGCGTAAAACCCAACTCGCTCACTCACTCGAGATGTGACAGGCACTCTAAAAGCGGCGTAAAACCACACTCACTCACTCACCTTGTTGATCCCTTTCCAGGACAAGCGGACACAAAGCTTTGACTAGCTGCAACTCTACCATGGAAGAGGTGTGTTGAAGTGAAACGGCGTTTATCATCGCGTTACATCTTATTGCACTCGATTATGGACGTGTGCGTATGCGTGTGCGCGTTGTGCGTGCGTACGTGTCTGTGCGTTTCCAAGAAATACCTCCGAATAACATATGTGATGATTTCCCACCTGCCAACATCGGTACAGATTATTGCACTGAATTATGGAGGCGCGTCTGCGTGCGTGCGAGCGTGCGTGCGAGCGTGCGTGCGTGCGTGCGTGCGTGCTACCTGTCCCGATTAATGCCGGTTATATAGGGCTAACCAACTGATATAAAATGTCGTTTGACATGAGAATTCTACTCAGGCACAACATACGGCCGACTGGTACATGGTTTATTATCTTATGCCTAGAGGGGCGGTGGGGTAGCCTTTTGGTTAAAACGTTCGCTCGTCACGCCGAAGACCCGGGTTCGATTCCCCATACGGGTACATGCGTGAAGCCCATTTCTGGTGTCATCACCGTGATTTTGATGGAATATTGCAAACAGCGACGTGAAACCATACTCGCTCACTCACTCACTCATTCACTCTTATGTCGAGAGCCAGGCAATAAAACAATGAGTACCCTCCTTTAACGCAGTTTGATATCACACGACTACCAAGGGATCTGCAAGAGCACGAGGTCCTTGTAGAGGAGGCAAGACCAGGGCCTTTTCAGGGCCCACGGGAATCATCGTATGAATGTGTTCAAATGGTTGACATCCAGTTGTATTTCCTTTATTACAAAGGCGGTGAGGGAATCCAGTACATGGGTACAATGCTCGATCGCTGTAACCACTCGGCTACCCCACCGCCCCCGACAGTTACGACTAAAACTGCAATGTTTGAAAAAGATTAACATAACTACTTAGTTTTGTTATCATGTGGTTACAACTCGGGAACGTATTGGTAGTCATATGACCACGACCGTTATATTTAGCAGTGATGCAGCTCAAAGTTGGTCAGTAGGGCCTGTAAGTCTCGCTAGGCGCTTCTTCCGCTACTTTCGATATGAGAGACGGGGGGCCCAGCTTACTTCCGGGACCTGATTTCCGGTGACAAGCCTATATTCAAGAACCAGTTCTTTTCCAAATTGCGCGACCACCAAATATGACTTTACTAGACCGGACCGTTGGCTAATTTGGGGATGGTTAGATCGGAACTTTGTTATTCCTGCGAGGATTGTCGGTTCCTTACTGTCAACTGACAACCATGAGACATTCAAAAAGGTATGTAACGTTGTTTGTCACCGAAAGTACTAAGGTCTCGCGAAGTGCCGTGACCTACTTACGGGCCCTATAGCGCAAGGGCATTTAGGGACTTTTTCATCTTTGAGTTCGCGCTGGTAAAAAAAAAATACGCATCATAAAAAGACAACAAAACCAAAACCAAAAATACCCAAACACCACACATCCAAAACAAAAAACAAAAAGGCATCCAATAGCAGTCCCACAAATCTTCTAAAAAAATTAAACCCCGACCTGTGCATGGCGGCATTAAAACCAGGAAGTGCTGCGCTTTTTAAAATAGTACTTAAAAGATTAATCTTCTTTCGACATGAATTATGTCAGCACAAATTATTTCCAAGCTGTAATCAATAAAAGTAATATCCTGACATTTCACAACACCCACAGATTGTTTCTGACATTCTGCGAACGAATGACGAGAGAGAGGATTTTATCATAAGCAAGGAAATGTGGACGACATTAAGACGTCATAAGTGCCGTCCGTTGTAAACGTATTAACCATTGAGCTAGTTAAGCCAACTTTTAGATATTGACACACGATACAGTAGAAAATCAGAACAGTTATCGTGTGCGTTTTGCTCAATAAATAGAATTTAGTAATGGCATTTGTCAAGCAATAATTATCGAGTTGTGTTAGTTATCCCTCGACTGTATCTCATAGTAAAATCGCATCATCTGCGAGGAGTAGCATTCAAATGTCCAAGTAATCTGGAAAAAGTTGAATACCATATTTCCAAAAGATGCACTATCATCATATTATTCACTGATCAAAAATAAAAATAGTATGGTGGTGGTAGTGGAATTGGGTTTTACGCCGTGCTTGAGAATATTTCGCTAATTTGACGACGTACATGCGTGTGTATGTGTATGTGCGGCTGCTTGTATTAGCCCAGACTTAAGGTGGTTTTATAGTGCTAGCTCACTGAGATACCATGCCGCAGTGAAGTCTGAATACCCCACCCAGACACATTATACTGACTCCCAGCCGATCAGTCCAGGTTGTACCCATTAATCCCGAGCGCCAGGCAGGGACCAACAAGTACCATGAAATACACAATGCCATTATAGAAAGTGGTCAAACATATGTTATATTTGGTATACACTTTCTCAGTAAAGTACAAATTCTAGTACTTTTGGAGTTGAATCCCATCCGGGTTTTGAACCCACCCCCTCAGTGTCATGCACCAAATGGCCAGCACACAAAGTCAGCCGCCTAACCCGGACTGAGAATGTGTATCCCAAATATAACATATGTTGCAATTGACCACTTTCTAAATGGCATTGTGTAATCATTCCTCAAGCAATAAGTATCAAACTTACATTCTATTTCCTGCTAGTTTTTAAACGACGGTGTTTCGTTAAATTGTTGATGTAGAAAGTCAAGGTTCAACCTGCCAGTGAGCACCAGTCATTTCACAGTGACATCGATTCAATCCAGTGGTCGATATTATAAACATCTATGAGCCGGCCAAGGCATTATTATCATCTGATCCCTATTGTAATCTTATCCTTTGATTGTTGTGAAATGCATAGTGTTTTCTATGCCTTAGAACTAGTGAAAGGGATAAAGTGAGGTTATTTATCAGTGTACACGATCGGGTGACAACCCAAAGCAAATTGAAACAGAACAACAATTTCAAGTAGAACTTGGCTCTGCTTGGCTCTGCCTTGCTTTGCTTTGCGTGAGAGAGTTAGCGACCAGCCGTAATATTCTATATTTGTTCCAAGAGGCGTTAAAATCTGTTAAGGCTGATGCTGCAGCAACATGCTACAGGGGAAATAACTCGTTTTCAACTAATCTTCAGTTGTGGCCTTCATCACTATTAATCTTCTGTGTTCCCGTTGTGTTGAAAATATCCCCACAGAGATGAGATCGTGTTTCGATGAACACCAAAATGTCTGGCCGCTTTATTTTGGGCCATTTCAGTCTGCACATACCCACTGCGCGAAGACGCTGATTTTCTGTAAGCCGTGGAATGACGTACGCGCAGTTTAGGTTGAAAAGTGTTGTCCACTAGAGGCTAGAGAATAACCTACCGATCGTCACTTTTCAATATCAGGTGTGTGAACTTCAGTGTCAAAAGTGAGCAAGTTCATTGTGCACAAAATGCGCGTGCCACGCGTGACACTTGACATCAAATTTCACCCAAAGTG